GGAGGAAAAAATCTATCGATCTATGTGTTTGGATTTTTTTTCTGACTCTTGCTAAACGTTTCCGAGCGAGCTAAACATACGACACTTTCGGCCAAAAATGCCGTAATCGCGCGGGGTGGCCGACTTATGCTGGACGCGCTCATATATAAATCCACGTCATCGGTAGAAACGTGCGAGCGATCGAGCTAGCGTAATCTCGTAAACCGCGAGGAGTAAAACGTGTATATATACGGATATTTGCGTGTGCAACTAGAAATCGTCCCAAAATTCCCCCTGTATCTTTTGGTCGCTACAGGCGAACGAATGGAAATTGGAAATTTTGTTTGGCAAATTTTAAGCTTCTTTTTTCTCCGTACGCGTATAATCTAGATTAAATTATATTCGGGGCAAAAAAAGATAGTCGAGCAAAGTGCATTTAGCCGGAAAAAAAGCGCCGAACGGCGGCTTTACAAGTTTTATCGGCATCTGTTTCGGTTGGAATTTTTTTTCCAGATCCGCTCGCTCTCTGTTGGTCCACCAACTCGAGCTGTATGTATGAGAAATGATGACCGAGAACCGATAAATATCCTGCAGTTGACCCTTTTCGAGTAGCTGTGTATATAGCTCCTTTAATGCTCGTGAAAAGAGCAGTAGCAGCAGCAGCAGCGCACACATATCGAGAACTTTTGCTGCGAATTGTCATCGCCAGCAAGAATCTCGGTCAATATAATACGCTCACTTGTACGTGCTTCTTTTCTTATATGTACTCCAAAAAACGTATATAATCGATATCGATATACGTCTCGTGTAATTTTTACGCTCAAAAGTCGAGGGGAAAATTGAAAACGATGTACCCGGAAAATAAAGAAGGTACAAAAAAAAAATAAAAACTGAAAAACGCGCTCCACTCTTTCAACGGCATTCCGAATGTGTAAACACGCGCGAAATATTTTCTCCGTTTGCTCGGAAAACTTTTCATATATCCATTACGATTTATTGATTTTTGGCCCCCGTATACATACTCGACTTATTGGCAATTTCTGACTTGTAGAAATTATAACATGACGCAAGAGTTGATGTTTGTATAAATCTAGGTGTATAAATTGTATAGCCGGGACAACTATATTGTGGGATAGACTCTCTCATATAGGCCATCTAGCGGCTTAAATAGAAGCTTGATAAAATAAGAAAATAGGTTTTTCGAAATAACAAGTCGAGGCTTATGGTAGCAAGAAGAAAGATTATCATTTTACTCAATCATATAAACGAAAGAAAAATTAACATCGATGTAAATTTAATTAAAACTTTAAACGCATAAAAAATCTAAAAAAGTTCTCTGAAATTCTCGAAATTCAACGATGAAGGAAAACAAATCCTGGAGCATCGCTTCTGCTGCCTTTTCACGCAATGGATAGTGCATAATTAATGCGCTTCGTTATTTTTGATCCATACACGTATTTCTCTCTCGTGGAAAACAACGTCCCCATTACAGGCAGCACAATCCGTATCGCGTTCGCAGTCGCGCACGATCGAATGTCTTTCATCAAGTTTTTTGCGATACACAGCGTTTATATATGCGCTCTCTCGCTTCGGACTCGACGAGTACTCGCTCGCTTTTTTTCTTTTTCTTTTTTTTTTTTACTCTGATTATTCATTCAACGTAGTAGTAGCTGTTACGAGCCTCGCGACGAAATGAAAATTTCCTGCTTTTAGCGATATGGGCTGTGTTACACCGGCTGCGCAGCGCGCCCCCGTTATCGAGCTGTGCAGCGTACAGTCAGATATACAGTTTTAACTTATTTTCGCTGTGCACCAGCTACTAGCTGTGCTCTTGATGGAAAAAACGAGCTCGTTTTTCTTTTGCGCATAATTGCCGCCCGCGTTAAATATTCATTTTTTGTTTCTTTCCGTGTTTATTATACTTAAAGTGCGCGCGCGCGCGCGCCTACGGTATATAACGAATATCTTAAACCAGTTTGCAGCTCGTTTCTCTACAAGTAGCTTAAGCTCTCTCTCTCACTCTTTCTCTGGCTCTCCTGTGTGTATACGCTATGTAGAAGAGCTTGCGCTGAGAGAGAGAGAGAGAGAGACGGGGACCGTACGTATAATATACCGCCCGCACGTCAAAGTGAAATCTCAATGTCAAAGTGAGTAGAAAAAAAACTCGGAGAGCGCACAAAGAGAATTTAAAATGGCCAAATTTCTCTCTCTCCTTCTACCTCTGCCTCTCTCTCTCATCTTCCTCCTGTGTCGGCATTTATATCTAGTTATACGTAACCCGAAGCATGAAAATTGGATCAAGAGTCCACCGCCTCGCGCGCGTCGTCGTCGTCGCAAGCAACGCGCGAGCAGCAGTATATGGAGCGCACACAAGCTGCTGGAGATACATAAAAACAAATATTTGCCCGTTTGTAATCCGACTTTTCCGAGCGCGAGGAAAAGAAAAAGAAAAGCAACGCAGAAAAAAAAGGAGCGGAAAAAGTGTTGCTCACGTACGTTTCACGTGTCAATACACACTCCCCTCTCCCGATCCACCCCTCCTTGTATGTACACACAGATGTAATACAAAAACCAGAGAGAGAGAGAGAGAGAGAGAGAGAGAGAGAGAGGCAGTCAAAAAGATCATACTGCTACTATGGCGTGTGAGTATACATACCTGAGCGTGCAGCAAAGTAAAAGTAGAGTGAGAGAGGAGCTGTGCTGCGCTATGCTACGCTTCGCTCCGGTGTATTAGTTTTCCCCGAACGTCGAAACAGAAGTATATGTAGCCGAGCTCGCGAGCTTTTCATTTCCGCCTAGCTGCGCTCTTCGTGCTGCTGCCTCCTTCTCATACTCTACTTCTGCTCCTCTATACGAAGAGCACCGAAAAAACATCGAAAAATCCCAGTCGAAAAATAAAAGATAATCTTGCCTCGACTGGTGCTGTGCGCGAGCTCGCGCGTCAATGGACGAGTATATATATCGTTACAGCAATATCGGCAAACTTTATTTTATACAGTCGTTGCTGTGCGAATGAGTACAGGAGGAGGGAAAAAAAATTTCTGCTTCGCTGCGTGGCGCAGATTTTTTTTAATACGCGTCTATGAGCAAGTGTATATTATTTTTGTATATTTAACCCTTCGTGTATGACCGAATTCGGACTTTTACTACTATACATCGTTGGGCTTGGTTCTCGTCCAATTTTATATAGATAGAGATAGAGAGGCGGTAAACGTTCGAGAGAGGTGAAATGAAAAAAAAAAGAGATAGAGGTAAAAAAACGCAGTTTTTGTCGATCTCGGGGGAAATTTTCAAGTATTACTTCGGTCGAGGGGCACACACAAATCCTCTATGCACACACATACACAAACACATGCGGTGCGCGGAAAGTTATAAAATTGAATCATGGATTGATTCCCTGCGAGGATCAAAAACAGCGTCTTTTAGGAAGGATAGCGTGTGTGTATGTGTGCGTGTGTGTGGTCTAGCCTCGCACGCCACATCCTACGTGCCGATGATTTGTGAACGTTACGCTTCGCACAATAATTTTGCAAAGTTTGCAGTTTGCGCGCGGCGTGGCGCAGCGCAGCGCTGCTGTGTGTGTTGACGTTATATTTATTCGAGCGTATGCACACCTTGTCATCGCATTGATGCGATAAGAGCCCTCCTCCCTGCACTGCACACCTATATATGGAGGCGAACTCGCGCTCTCGTGGAAATAAATTTCACCTCGAGAGTCGGCTGCCCCCCCGCCACCACCACCGTCGCTCTGCTACTATTGACATTATTACACTCGCAAATATTGTCGCACGCACGTTTGTGTATACGATGTAAATCTCGTTAATAATCGTCCACCTTTTATTTTTGTTTCAGGTAAGCGTTCACCCCGACCCAACTTATGAAGGTTCACAAATCGATTCGATTGTGTTTTTTAAGCGTAAGTAAACAAGCGAACAAACACCGAAACAAAACAAAAAAAAAATAGAAGGAAAAAACAACGTAATTGAAAAGGAGAAAAAACTTATTACTTTGAGGCACTTTTATCGCGCGCTATTTAACCGCAGAAAAAAGGAGGAGAGGGAGCAAAAAGAGTCATAAAGGAAACGATTCATTGTACGGAGGGCGCGAGGGGAAGGGGGGGAGAGGAGGAAGGATAAAAAGTCTGTACACAAACAGAGCTGTACCAAAGGCAAAGAGAGAGAGAGAGAGAGAGCGATTCGCATTTACAAAAGACAATAACCGATCGGCAATCACTAGGAAACGCGCGCGTGCTGAGATATATACACAAAGAAAAAGAAAGTAATAAAACTAGCTCTCTCGCGTATAAGTACACTGCATTTGTATGTATGCGCGTGTGTGTGTGTGGGTGGCAGCATTGCAGAAAAAAAGCAGCTGCTTGCAAATACATGTTTACCCGCCGAGCGCGCGCGCATATAAACATACTCTTTAACCCGTAAATATCTGAAAGCAGCGGCAAGAATCGAGAAAAGAGAGAGAGAGAGAGAGAGAGAGAGAGGAAGAGAATGGAAAGAAAAGCGCATTCACGAGAGAGTAGCAAAAGGAAGTAGCTCTCGAGCTTATAACACAAAGATGCCATGCCCCTCGCCCGTGTACATGTTTTATATAGTATATATGTATACGATATAATGTATATATGTATTGTATAAAACATGGTAAAAAGAGAATCGCTCGTGCGTATCGAAGCAGCGGAGTAGCGACATAACAGCGAATGGCGCGGTGCGCATTCTTGGGACATTTTCGCGCGCGACATTGATAAACAGTGTGTTTATAATGTATGTGTATGTGTGTGTGTGTGTGTGTGTGTGTCTGTTGGCCAAAAGTTACGCTTAAAAGTTTTGCACACTGCGCCGAGACTGCTCGTGCGCTATTATCGGGGTGCGCGTCGAAGCGACCCTCGATGCGGGCGCCGGTACCGTTTACGTGTCGTCGTACGCTATACTTTTCATTTTTGCATCCCTATTCGTACATTTAGAATTTTCTTTTGAACGTGTACGAATGAAACTGTATATTTACGTTTGAATTTCAAAATTAGTATATTGTCGTGCATTTATGCATCGTTTTTCGTACGGTAGTGTGCAAAAAGTTATATTATCGAATTTTCTCGTATCCACTTTGCGTAAGCCATGACGTTGACGTACACCTCCGGCAACTCGTGAGTCTTTCCGCACTCGTAACCGAAACTCGTGATGCCGATTTGGTAACCCTTTCCATCTACAAAAGGACCGCCGGAATCTCCCTACAAAATTAATGTAAAAATGTTGTGCTGATTCACACAATTACTTTGAACATGCATTATGAAAGTGATGAGATCATCTCAAAAATCAAATTTGTTATATATTTCTCTGAAACGTTCTAGTGAATATTTTTCTCAAAGGCTGTATGGTACCTTAATGGAAAAATACTTGGTAGAGACTTGAATTAATGGAATCTCTGTGTGTCTATTAATAATTACCATGCATGGTCCGCTGGGCCAGTCGTGATTAGTTACGGCACACATCATACCGGCGTCAATGGCCGTTAATAATTTCGTATGCCATTCCTTAACGCACGTCTCCCAACTAATAACTCTCTGCTGTGATGCTTGTAAGAATTTAGACAGAGTCACAGTCTAAAAGCATGAGTATTTTATTTATTAAATATGAATCAAGAGTCTATGCACGGCATTCTAGTGATCTACTTACATCATGGTTGGTACCACCCCAGCCAGTTACAACTGCCACATGTCCTTCGTTGAACTCGTAGTCAGACTTGGGTAGTTTTACCGGTCTTATGAGTTCGGTGAACTGAATGTCCTCGTTTAAGTGAATCAAAGCTATGTCGTTCATCATGAATCTTTCCTACGCACAACATTTAATTTATTCTAAGTTTACTCTTTCATTATCTTTCCTTATTAATATTAAGAGTTATTACATACACTAAACAGATCTTTTTTTATAAACTTCAACATATATTTATTGTAACGAGGATGAGTGACGAACGCCTGCGCTGTATGAACTTGTGCGTTTGGGTCGCCGATCTTATTAGTACCGGCGTAAATCTCGACCTTGTGTAATTTCTTACTGGAATAATCGATCAATTGCTGTATAGCTTTTAGTATATTGGTAAACGTTCAATGGTAAATTTAATCTTACTTTTCAAGGCAGTGAGCTGCCGTCAATATGTAACGCTTGTTGATTATCGAACCGCCGCAGAATAAACCCTTTTTCAGTATGCACGGGAAAAGTTTGACAAGCCAACTATCCTTAAAACATGTTGGGGTTGAAAATGCACTTAGGTAAACCTGATATGGATAGTGTTTGATTTGTACGATCTCTCCATTGACAATAGGCTCTGCATTTACGCCTGGATAAATGTAAAACCTTGATTAGAATGATTTTGCTTGGTTATTCAAGTATTATATTTTCCAGTAATTTACTGTAATATCCCAAAACTAAGAAGTAAACTAAAAAGCACGAAATTTTATAAAACTTATTCATATTCGTAATAATCACTTACGTACATGACTTGATAAACTGTCAGTGTTATGAGTAAATTTTTGACATGATTATTTCTCGAAAGTAATAATATTTACTTACATGTGTAATGATTTAACGATCACATACATTCGGAATGCAAAAATTAAAGTCACGTTTCGAAAAAATTTATCCGCAATATTAAACATTCATTACATGTTTTAACGAAAAAATATTAGCATTCGAATTATATAGTTTATTTTCATCCTTATCCTTATATTTAGAGTTTTATTTTGAATATGCATGCCGGCGGCTGTCTATTTATTTTTGGACTGATAAAATTATATTTTCGCATTATTTCGTATCCATTTGACATATTCCCAGACGTTGACGTACACGTCGGGTAGCAGGTGAGTAGTTCCGCACTCATAACCGAAACTTATGATGCCGATTTGGAATCCCTTTCCATCTACAAAAGGACCGCCGGAATCCCCCTACAAAATTAACATAAAAATTTTGGACCGATTCACATAATTACTTCGTACACGCATCAAATTCTATTAATAATTACCGGGCATGGTCCACTAGCCTGCTCATGATTATAAGTTATGGCACACATCATGCCTTTGTCGATATACTTCAAATATTTTAATTGCCACTGGCGATCGCACGATTTCCAACTGATTATTTTTTGCTGCGTAGCTCGTAAAAATTTGGACATAGGTTTCTTCAAAAAAATCCGTCATAAATAAAAATTGTTGGACTGTAGAACGTTCAAGTTATGTACTTACACTATAGCCCATATTACCCCAACCAGTAACAAATGCCACCTCGTTTAAGTGATAGTTTGATCTTGGAAGTTTAACTGGTCTTATGACTTCGGTGAACTGAATGTCTTCTTTTAGGCGAATCAAAGCGATGTCGTTCACCATGAGGTTTGCCTGCGTTCGATAAGCAATTTTATCAGTATACTCCTCCTTTGGTACTTTTAATATACAATGATTCGTTACATACATATTTGGGATTTGTTTTATTGAACATTAAAGCAGAACTATGGTACTCAGGATGAATGATAAATGCCTGCGCTGTGTGCACCTGTGCCTTTGGATCGTCGATCTGATTGGCACCGGCATAGATTTCGACCTTGTTTACCTTCATTCTGTAATATGAGTTCAATTATTGTAAGAATTTTGACAAATTCTGGCGATTTCAATCTTACTTTTCAAGACAGTGAGCTGCCGTCAGTATGTAACGTTTGTTCACTATCGAGCCACCGCAAAACAATCCCTTTCGCTGCACGCATGGGAAAAGTTTAATAAGCCAACTATCCTTAAAACATGCTGGGATTAGAAGTGCACTCAAGTAAACTTGATATGGATAGTGTTTTATTTGTACAATATCTCCGTTGACGATGGGTTCTGAACTTACATCTGCATGAATTTAAAAAGTCGATAAAAATTATTATGCTTGAATATTAAAACATTCTATTGTTGATAAATTTACTGTAAAAAGCCAAGAATAAGAGGTAAACTAAGAACCAGGATATTTTATAAAACTTATTCATGTTCGTTATAGTCACTCGCGTACATTCATTGAAAGTAAAAAATTAACTGTAAGTGCAATAAGTAAATCTTTGACGTTGTTATTTCATGAAAGCCAAAATACATACTTTATGTGTAATAATGTAATAACATGTGTAATAATTTAACGATTGCATGCGTTCGGAGCACAAAAGCTGAAGTCACGACACAAAAACTTTTAACCAAAAACTTTTCGAAAATATTTCTGATTATTTCCGCTACATTTCATTACTGAGTATTACCGCTGCCATTGCTGTCGTACCACTGATAAAATTTCTATATTACTTTATAAAGGACATGCATTTAATTATTACACAAACATAATTTATTTTAATAATAGTATGCAGAGTGTAACAGTAAAGTTGGAATCAAACACCCAATTTTTAATCTTATTTTCCTTTTTAAAATTTTTCCCAGCAACAAAGCGAAAGGCAGAACCATATTTTAATATTATTTAAAACTGTTACAAAAATACACATTTTTTATTGCTAGGTTGGTAAAACGCGGGGCTGTGTATATCCCATTTAAAGTTCGAAATATCGAAATTCTTCGTGCTATTTTCAGGGCGCGATGCAAGCGCGAAATACCCATCAATACTACCTACGTGTTATACGATTTATTTTTTCATCCTTATCCTTATATTTAGAACTTTATTTTGAACATGCATAACCGAAGCTATATTTCTATTTGTGGAATAATAAAATTATATTTTCGCATTTTCTCTTATCCACTTGGCGTATATCACGACGTTGATGTACACGTCCGGAACCACATGAGTCTTTCCGCATTCCCAGCCGAAACTCGTGATGCCTATTTGATAACCTCTGCCATCTACGAAAGGACCACCAGAATCTGCCTGCAAAATTAAGGGCAAAAAATATTTGCCAATGCCCTCAGTAATACAATACACGCACTAATTTCTGTTGATGATTACCGCGCAAGGTCCACTTGGCCAGTCGTGATTGGTCACGGCACACATCATGCCGCTGTCGAGATACATCCCTAATTTCGTTGCCCATTGATGAGAGCACGTCTCCCAACCAACAACTTTCTGTTCCGTAGCTCGTAAAAATTTAGACAGAGGCCCAGTCTGAAAACCAGATCCATCATAAATATAAAATCATGAGACGATGCGACGTTTCAGTTACATGTACATACTTACATCATATTCCATATAACCCCAGCCAGTAACAAGTGCAGGATGTCCCTCGTAAAAACGATAGCTAGACTTGGGAATTTTTACCGGTCTTATAACTTCGGTGAACAGAATGTCTTCTTTTAGTTTTATCAAAGCTATGTCATTTAGCATGGTATCCGCCTGCACTCAGAAATTAAATTAATTTGTTTTTTTACTTTCAAAGTATTTTTAATAGTCACATACGGTAAGGGGATTTGTTTTCCTATACTTCATTGCATATTTATCGAATCTAGGATGAACTATGAACTCCTGCGCCACGTGTTTCTGTGCGTTCGGATCGCCGATCTGATTGGCGCCGGCGTAAATTTCGACCTTGTGTACTTTCTTACTGTAATATTGGATGAATTTCGGTAAAGATTTTGGTATGCACTGGGTAAACTTACTTCTCAAGACAGTGAGCTGCCGTTAGTACGTAACGCTTGTTCACGATCGAACCGCCGCAAAACAATCCCTTTCGCTGCACGCATGGGAAAAGTTTGATAAGCCAAAGATCCTTCAAACAAGTCGGGAGTAGAAGTGCACTTAGGTAAACTTGATATGGATAGTGTTTGATTTGTACGATGTCCCCGTTGACGATGGGTTCTGCATTTACACCTGGATTATTGTAAAAAAAACTATGAGTATTATTTTACTTAGATTTTCGAGTTTTGCATCGTTAATCAATTTACTGTGATAAGCCGAGATAAAGAGATAAACTAAAAAACGCGAAATTGTATAAAACTTATTCATATTCGTTATTGTACATTACTAGAAAGAGAAAAAAAATGAACTGAGAGCTTTGAAAGCTTTGACGCGATCATTTAACGAACGCCAAAATACATTCGCGTGTAATAATTTAACGATCGCACACGTTTCAAGTGCAAAAATTGAAGTCACGTTCTGAACGTTTCATAGTTACGCTCGAAAGTATAAAACTTCGCAATGTCTTCCAACGACGTTCGTTACAGTTTTTAATAAAAAAAAATGTCGCGTTCGCGTCACCGAGCTTTCTGCGCGTTACAAAATTACTGCGTACATCAAAAATTCATAAAGCGTGCAATAGCATATTTTGAAAATATTTTTAATTAGTAAAATATTTCAATTACGCACGCACACACCCGAGTTGATGAATATTTTACCCGGCAATCGTAAACGTTTACTTGTGCGAATTAAAATGCAGAAGCATTTGATGGACTTACGGCTTCGCAACGGCAGCAGCAGCAGAAAAGGTTCGCGTTTTATCGTTAATACATTTTCTCAATTATTTAAGATTTCGCTCGGTCTATGACCCGCGCACACGCCATTTTTTACATGTACAAAGTCGCAGAATAAATTGCATAATAATTGCAGACGAACGAACTCGTTTGATCGTGTGATCGGAATGGACATTTTTTCGCAGAAATTGGAAAAAAAGCCCTTCGGCGTCGCGTAATTGAGTTTTGGATGATGCATAACGTAATACGTGCAGCAGCAGCAGCAGCATATATATCCATCGTTTAACCTGCCCTCGCGCTTACATTCGCATCATCATTTTTGCACATCGATCGACCGAATTCCAACGAGATTTCGCAGTACGTAATACGATTCGCGCGACACAACCAACGACCTCTGCTGCTGCTGCGCTCGTCACGGTGAAAATTTTTCCGAACTCTCGTTACTGCGCAGCGACGACGTCTCTTGCGCGCGGTAAATTGCCGCAATAACACGTAACAACGACTGCGAGTGTGCACGTAAACGATCGTCGAGGCGCACCGTACCCCGCCTTTTCTTTTAATTTTCCTCGACTCGTAGTTTTTATACCCAGCGTCGAGACACCGAGAGAAATGTCTTATGGTCGAACTGTACGAGGAGGATCGTTTTTCTCTCTCTTTCTCTCTCTCTCTCGGGCCAAACGGGCAGTCATTTAAAGTTCATTTCGAGTAAATCCATGTTTTTTTTCAAACCGTCGAAAATTTCTCACTCTTTCTCTTCCTCTTGCCCTCTCAATTAATTAAACGCGAATTCATTTTCATTTCCCTAATTCGCCCGAGTTGTACGTATACGCAGTAATAAAAAAAAAAAAGTAAAGAGAAATTTCGATTGGACAAAAGGCAAAGGGAGAGAGAGCTTAGAAAAGAGCACATTAGCTCCGTGCGCTAGGCCACGAGCCACGAGAGAACATTATAATATATAGAATGGAGCTTTGATCACTTTCAGTGTTGCGCGCTCGCCTGACTACGCGCCGTGGTGCTCTCGACGCCCGTGAGTGAGTGAGTGAGTGAGAGCTCATTTTCGCGCCATATATACGTATATAATACATCCGTGCGTGAGTATAAGTGCGTGTAAAGTGTAGTGCTATGCACTTATACGTATGTATGCGTATTAAATCACATTAAAGCACTTTGGAATATTACGTCGGTGGCGTACATGAGCTGGCTTATAAAGCAACACTATATTATACCCTCTCTCTCTCTCTCTCTTTCGCTCGTATACATATACGTATACGCGTACATTCGTACGTATGTATGCGTATGCGTTCGTGAGCCTTTTAACTCAGGCGCACCAGGCGTCACCACCGAAGTAGAACTTGTGCTGCGCACGTGGAAATATTTTACTGCGTTAAATTTCTCAGTCGCTCGCAAGCTCGCAAGCTCTCGCGTCAAAAGTAACCCTATGGTCCGTACGCACATATACTCGCACAGGCAGAGAGGCGAGAGAGTGGCACATGTGCTGGCGTCTCTCGTTTTCTCTCTCTTTCTGCGTGCAGATATGTGTATGTGCGCGGCAAAAGTTAGCCCGTTGGCCGAGCTCCGGAATTTCGTACCCGGAGAATCGTATTTCATTCGTAATGCGACTAAAACTTTCGAATTAATTTTTCCTTTCTCTCTCTCTCTCTCTCTCTCTCTGTTTGCCCTTACTTTTTTTACCAATCTCTTTTTCGCCGATATACTCGTGGGAAAAAATTGCCTCGAAAAAAAAACATTTTGCATCATTAAGTGGCCGGCGGTTTGATTTTCAAGGGATTTAAATTTTGAAAGTTCCGCGGGCTCGCCGCGCTTTCGTATAAAAACAATTCGAAAGACGGGCGCGCACCATGAGAGGGACATTATGTAAAACTCGCTCGTATAGAGCTGCAGCTAGAGAAATTTTGCTCGGCCGCACACACACAGACACGCACAGAGTAAAAGTTGAACTTCAACGGCCAAAAGTTTCTTCATTTGTGCTCTCGCGCACTGCGCACTATATATAACATAACTCCTAAATCAGCTGTTTTAAGCCCACCCACTCACCCACCTCGAACCAGCTACTGAAAATATATATCGAGTATTCTTACGTACGTCATCGGTCCCGTTATATATCTATACTAAATGTCGTGTTTTTCCCTCCCGGCCTCGAACCTCGCATTATGTCGATCGAATTTCGCTCGTATAGCCGCGCCGCACCAATCCCAAACGCAAAAGTTTTACAAGCGAGATAGGTGTGCTTACGCAATTCTCGAGAAATAATACATCGCGCAGCGTAGAGCTGTCTTCTTCCATTTCCTGCGAAGTTCCTTCTTGGCAGCTTTCAATTGCCATATAGCTCGCGCATGCAAGAGAGCAAGAGTCGAGAGAGATCCGTTTCATCTCTCTCTCTCGCTCTTGACGTTACATAAACGTTTGCTCGCACGCATTATAACGTAGACCAGAGACGTCAAAACACGTTCCAAGGTATTTCAAACTTGATTACATACGCGAAATCTCGGCTCGACTATTATATTCTCGTATTACAACTCCTGCGCGTTATAATAGTTCGTGAAAACTCGCGTATTTCTCGAAAATCGTTTGTTAACAAAAAAAAAAGGATTTGGGCCTGAAAAAAATTCTTTTTCTAAGCTCTCTTCTTGTCGGCACCCATCGTTGCAGTACAGCGGTATACGCATAAAAGAAAAAAGGGGGGGCACATAGCTGCACCGGTGTATGCATAACAACGCGGGCGAGAATAGTTTCCTCGTCGTAAAAGCCGAGCACTGCGCTGCTTCTGTGGTCTCTATCTCTCCCTTTTTTCTCCTCGCGAGATTGAAACGTAGCCGCAGGAGCATAACTGTTACGTAAAAAGCTCCTCTCTCTCTCTTTGCGTGCATCCAAGAAAAGTAGACGCGCTGCTCTCTCTCTCTCCTCTCCTCGCGATAGGAAAAGTTTTCGGGGGTTTGGAGTGCGCGCACGCGAGAGGAAGAGTATGTATATGCTCGGAGGCAAACTCCTAAGCTTTTATATATTAAACGAGATGAGTCTCGTATACTCGACTTCTTCGGGTGCATGGCTCCTGTCTCTCTCTCACTACTTGCACACATACACGCAAACGAACACATAGATATACCGACACTGTATAGTAAACGTCGTTGATATGAGCCCGGGCGATTTTTCTCCACATCGCGCGCGTACTTTAGACTTATTGGTGCTTCTATAGATATATAAACTTGTGTATAGATATAGCGCATGCAATACTCGTGTGCCGTCGATTTATGAGGTCGTTACGTACGTGTGGCGTCGCGTGTGCGCGCTATATACGGACTTGAAAAATAGAAAAAAAAAAGAAAAAGAAGGAAAGATTCCGCCTACAGGTCACGCGTTCGAACTTTGCTCGTGGCAGCAGCGCCGTCGAGCGCAGCAGAACTGCTGCTGCTGCTGTCGAAAAACCAAAAGGGAAGAGTCAGTAAGAAAGAAAAGCTCAAGTTCATAAGTACGACTACTGCTGCTGCATAGCAGGGTTGTTACTTTTTACTTTCTGTTGTTTTTTTTTTTTGTTTCATCGGTTCTCTCGATACTTTTTAGCCAATCGAAGCATCGAGATACTTTTCTCGGCCGCGGGCGATACGAGAGAGACAGAGGAAGACAAGATACGGACGTATATAATTTGAAACGTATACCGTCTTATACCGCCTGACCGAATTCCGATCTGTTCTACTTACACGAGGCACGTGTGCGTAATGCATCTCTCTCAGCGTGTGACCACCACGGCCGGCGTCGTATC